TTATGGAGACAAAGAAATAATGAAACCGTTTCTAAAATATTGCCCCCACCCAATACCCCCCCAACAAAAATGTATGAATATGAAATGGGAAACACCTAAAATTTATATCTATATAAAGGATGTAAATGCTTACAAAAATGTTAAATCCCATAAAACTATTGAATCCCCTAAATCTCTGGATATAAAGAAAGGAGCAAATGTTTTTTAGAATCTTTTATGTTGACAGTAACCAGGACCAAAATTCTCCCTTTTACTGGCAGATCGTCGTATTCTGCATCGTTAGAACGTGCAATTAGACTGAAACTTCAATTCGATTTGAATCAAACGAGAAATGCCTTACAGGCAAAGTAACGTCAATATGGACTTGAGAAACACATACATAAAAATAAATGCTTTGCCATGCCAACGAGTTTGAAAATCACGATTCTTTGAAAAGATTTCACTTGTCTAGACTCGAAATATAGCAGACAAGCCCTTGAGCGAATATCAATAGAATAGAAAAGTTTCTATAAACTTTTGCCCAAGCCGTAAACATTTTAAATATAATAGGAAGCGAGGAAGAAAAAATATATGAAAAAAAAACCCGCTACGTAGACATTTTGCTGAGTGACTTGATTCTAATTTTGAGATTCTTATATATATTTTTTAAAACTTAAATTGGTTCAGACAAGTACCTGCAATGAAAAGCTTAATTGTTGATTTCCTTCAGAGATAATTATTCACCAACCCCGCCCGACATTATTTGTTCTACCACGCCCCGCTCCATCATAAACAATGTCATAAGTACCCTGAGTATAATGAGATCGCGAGGGATTCCATCATTAGCAGTCTTGCCGTTATAGGAATAATGGAGGCCCACCATTAAATATTTTTCACTCCCTTGCACTGTAAATCTTTGAAAGAGAGCGGTTAGAAGATAAACAAAGGGCGGGAAAATAACAGAAAGAAAGAAGACAGATACTGAAGTGATTAAAATAGAACAAAACAGAATGTAATGAGAAAGAAAGAAAAAAAAAGTGGATTCGTCGAAAACAGAAAGTATGAAAGGAGAGACGAAATAGCAAAAATGGACACTAGAATGGCATGTAAGTCCCAGTCTTTTACTGTTGAATTAATCAAATATAACCGTCAGTTCTACTTCAATAGTATCTTTTCTCGCACTTTCCTCCTGTGGAACTCCTTTCCGTTTCCTTGCTTCCCTGATAACTACAGTCCTCAGAAATTTAAATGCAACGTCAATCGCCATCTACTGTCTTCTTGAATCCCGTTCAGCTTTTATCATTTTCTCAATCCCCTCCCATACTAGTTTTTTTTTTCTCTCAACTTCGCTCTCTATAGCCCCCTACGTACCAGTGGCATTCCTGCTTTGTTTGAGGTGAACTGATTAAAAAATGTCTAGAAAATAAGACAAAAAGATAATAAGAAAAAAAGACATTAAAATGATAAAAAAAAAAGAAGAAAAAATATAGTGAAGAAAGAAAAGGAATAAAGTGATAACATAATAAGGGGGGGGGTTCAGGCTAGATTTGAAAAAGATAGAGAAGAAACGGGATAAATGGATTCTGCTTAATAGAAGGATAACATTGAAGACATTAGAGGGTGAATTCTGGTAGAAAAATGAATAATTATCGAAGTAACGGATGGAGAAAATATTGGGAAAAATAAAAGACAGACAAAGAAATAAGTTATTTCTTCGTCTGTATGTATGAAAATATCTCTTCTCCTCTAGCCCCGGGTTAAATAGTAAATCTTGTTATCTCTAAAGCATTGTCAATGAATAATTTATTCTTCTAATCCTAAATATGTTTCGGCTTAATGTATCCACAAAAGCCAGATAAGCTATAAAAAAAACAAAATCAATTTCCTCATCGAATTCGTTTCTCATTTAAGTTTTTAATTCTTTTTTTTTTCTTTTTCTATCTTTTCCTTCGTATTTTATGTTGATATTCCTACTATTTTGTATTTGTCTATATTTCTGTGATGAGGTATTATGTACACTATCTACATTATTCGGCCTATTGCTTTCATTTTTATCGGCATGTTTATATCAAAGTTTCGGCCGTTGTACGCACCGGCCTCCTTCTTCAGGTGGTTGGAATATCTAACTGAACCCTTTATTTCCCTCACCGGGATAGACCGTTCTAGCTCCACCTAGTTATAACTGACATCTATGAGACAAGGCACGTGGAAATAGCACAGTCTACCCCAATGAGCGAAATAAAGGGTTCAGTTCGACATTCCAATGACCTGAAGAAGGCCGGAGAGTACAACGTTCGAAACGTTGCGATAAACATCGCGACAAAGATGAGGACAATAGTCTGAATACTGTAAATAGTCGTACTATTTTATTCTTCCTCTGGCATTTTTTTTTATATTTTCGTCTTCCCCCCCCCTTTTTCCCCCATCTTTCTCTTCGATACATTTATCTCTTAATCTCTTTTACTTAGAATTCCTCAAGATTTCATCCCTTTTCTTATTCTTCGAATCTTCTTTCTTGACTTACAGCCATATCGGTTTGAAACGCCGGTTCTCGTTCCGATCAACGAAGTTAAGCATCGTTGAGACTGGTCAGTACATAGATGGGTGACCTTTTGGGAATACCAAGTGCTGTAAGATTGGATGTGTGGGTGGTGTAGTGAATAACGTCTCGGTATTGAAAGTCAGAGAGCCGAGTTCCAATTCCAGTCGGGTTCGTTATATTAACATACACGCAAATAGCGTTGAGAAGTGTATGAATCCTCTTCTTCTTCTTCACCTACCTAGGAGTTAATTAGTATGATTTGTATCGGTAAATCATTATCACCACCAAAGAATTCTTAAAATCAAAAACTATTCCTGGCTTTAAATAACCTGATACAAGCTGATAAGCCGTAAAAAGAACAAATCAATATTCACTTTTTCTATGCCTTTTTATGAGGCTGATTCTTCTACTAGACTTTTTTAAAGCATTTCACCCCAAGCAAGGCATGAGTGCCACTATCACGAAAGGGGTTACAGAGTGCAAGAACAAAGAGGGAGGTTGAGGAAAGGATATTGTTGGGGCCACCCACCTTCTCATCAGAATGGAATCTCTCTACTACCAATAGGACAGTTCTATAGAGTTCTGGGAGATCAGGTGACCATCACACTTCCGTCTCTCTACCGGAAGATACAGTTGGACTTTATACTCTTTCTGATTGTTACTGATTAACCTGCGTTCGTTGACTACTAATCTCTGTTGTAAATACCTCTTCAGATATACCAGTATTTTCCCTACGAATGTATTTGTCATTATTTCAATACACGCACGGGGAAACACTCAACAGATATAGAGAAGGACAGGGATTAGGATCAAGGCATCTGAAAATGTCGATTGGCATTACGCTTGAATATTTGAAGATTATAGCTATCAGGGAAGCAAGCAAGAGGGAGTTGCACAGTCGGGTAGTGCGAGAGAAGAAGCTGTTGGAATAGAAGAGGCCGATACATTTAGCTGTTGCCACATTTTAAGGGTGGGACCGTGATGCTAACCTAGTAGCACGCTTAAATTCATGCAGTTGGGGTACCAGTGAAAACAGCTCGTCAGAGCAATTGCCATGAAAATATTTGTAGAAAAGACAGAGGGAAGCCATATCACGTCTGTCACTGGAGTCACGATTCCAGGCTAGGACCTATCACATTGCATATCCATCTTAGGAATTTGTCGAGAATCTCGAATCAAAGTAAATGTAAGGAACAAAACTCGTCAGATTGAGACTTTCATGTGGATGTCATGCATGACATCAAAACCGTTCATAAATATCAGAACTGCCAGCAATATATAACCGCTTTCTAAGATCATTGGTTAAAAATAGCTTTGAGCGAGTGAAGACTGTGGGTCTTAGCAAAGATCATCCATATTTGAACATTGTAGACTGGTGATATAGAATCACAAAGAACTTTACCAAATATTATAAACCACATCACTTGAAGACTACCGACAGCGGCAACAAGTGAAATGGATAGCACATGTAACGTGAAGAGAAAATGATGACATGACATTACACACTACTTGAAAGACAAGGTTAGGAAGGAAACCCTCTCCAGTACGGGAAAGATCGATAAATCTATTTACCTTATAACTGATAAACCTATTTACCTGAAAAATTATTCTTAGAAATATCTATCTATCTATCTATATATATATATATATATATATATATATATATATATAGATAATATTAGTGGAAAATATACATACATATGCAAAATATATATAAAATATTCCCATACATGTATATTTTCAGAAAAAAAAAATTTTCCAAGAGGAAGGATCCAGGTAGAACTCAATGTCTAGGACAGAGTAAGGATATAATAAAAACTTATACATACTTACACTTTCTCTAAATTCTGTTTTGATTTCCGGAGTTGTTTTTTTCTGTTTTCATTTTGAATTTGTAGGTCTGATGATTTGGATCGTATTTACGATTCCAATGGAATAAATTATGACCATGGAATATTAGTGTTTAAGCCTTTTTTTATATATATATATATATATATATATATATATATATATATATATATATATATATAATAGACTCTGTTATCGAATTACTCCTAGGTTTTAAACCATATATATTCTGAAATTACATTAAACCAGGGTACTTGAATAGGTATATTTCATTTTTATCAAATTGGGGCCCTGGGGAGTGCAACCCCTCCACTGAAATTCTTTTTCCCTTTTATTTAAATTAAATTTGAACAAGGGGATGAATCCTATCCAAAATGTAGGAAGAGAAAGCCAGAAGATGGAGGTCATATCGGCAAGATCAAAATGAGACAATATGGACGTCAAGCTGTGTAAGAAATCAATCAGTGGGTAGTGCCTTACAATAGATATTTGTTGTGACAATTCAACTGTCATATCAATGTTGAAATCTGCTAATCAATTCATTCAATCTACTGCATCCAACACATGTCAAAGGGGTCAGATCAAGCTGTTTTTGCACAAACTCCCCACAGAAAATGTTTCCTTTTCATTTAAATTAAATTTAAATTTGAATAAGGGAATGACTCCTATCCAAAATATAAAAGGAAAAAGCAAGAAGATGGAGGTCACATCGACAAGATCATTGAGTAATACTGAAATGTATCATTTTTCTCCATAAATTAAAACAATGATTTAAAATCAATCATCATTTTACAAAATAAATATGTGACACGGAGCAAGGCACGGGTAATTCGGTTAGTATTTTAGGAATTTTAACCGAAAACTGAACTAACTGCTAGGCCAATGAATTCTAAATGTTTCCTTATAAGGAAACTGGTAATATTACTATTATGTTTATCATAGTCGCCATTTTCATTCCTTTTGTCAAACATCTCGATATTTGTCGTTGCCATTGAAAGCAATAATTCACAAACTTCTGCTCCATCTGACGTCACAATTTCCACGTGAGAAGATATTTCTGCGATTAGATAGCATTATCAAAATTGTCATCATTAACTGATCCATTAATGTCGATGGAATTATCACTATCATCTTACTCGACACTACCAATGCTGTTGCTTCTCAGTATCCATACCAACTGTCTCAATAACTGTCAAAACGCCTGCCGTGTTCATCTCCTTCATTATTGCAAACGCCTGCATCGAAGACCCTCTTCTGTTTAACTTTTCCTCTCCAGCATCACCACCATCATTGATATATATTATTATCAGCATCTCTTTATGATGGCATATGAGAATAATCTCTCTATAGTATTTACTAATTGACTTGGATCTTATCTGTTAATTCACTTCAAAATATTAATGGACCCCAAAATAAAAAAAATAATTTATATTTAATAAAATCCACACCAAAATTCAGAAATGTCCTTTCAAATTTGCTTAAAAATTTATTCATTGTTTTTTTTTTGTTTGTTTGTTTTTTCTTCTTCTTCTTCTTTACGTCTCCAAAGCCACTATGACAAATAAGAGTCTATCATACTGCGAGGATTCACGAACATAGACTTATTCTTCATTTCGAAGTCCCGCTAGGTACTTTCGATTGTTTGCGTTTGAACTGATGTTTCTGAGTCAACGAAATTCATACTGTGATCTACAGTCAGATTAATATAATTGGGATCATCCTTTTATAATGATGTATAACCTTTCCAACATTCCAACATAATCGTAGTCTCAGGTAAATACAACTCCGGATTATGTCCATTTATGTGGTGGTTGTTCTGTCTGACAATTCCATAGGAAGCTAAAGAAATTTTCATTTAAGAAATATAATTAGAAAAGAATGCCAGAAATTTAATAAAGAAACAAACTTTGATTCCAAATTTATAATTTATTGAGAAGATATGGGAAAAGTAACTACATTTATTTGAGTGTATTAACAGAAAAGATTCATCGACTTAAACGGTACTGCTGAAATTTGAATTTCCAGATTACTTATTTTGATTTTGATTTTATGAATGGTTTTATTTCATCTTATTTTTGTGTGAGTAGAGTTAGGTCGATTATACATACTCCAGCCCATTCACTTGGTTACAAGACGTCTTAATAAACAACTTTGCATTCAAGAGAATGTCTACGTTCCATTGACAACGCGTTATCCAATTCGGCAACAACAACCTGATGCACAGACAGCTGAAATCTCGTTCTGCTGCTACTCTTCTTCGGTTATCTGTACCATATTTTCTGCAACTAGGGTCTAAAGTCGTCTGAATTTTTAAATGAAGAATTTTCTTTAACATTTTTAAATAGTCTCTTCTTTCATCTCATTTTTCGCGTGCTTTATCGATTCTCGAGATCTAAACAAACTTCGGTTAACAATTTCTTCCCTGTACGTTGTTGTAGAAAAAAAAAAGAATTCTCTCTATTTACATTAATCGGACTATTGTCCTCATCTTTGTCGCCATATTTATCACAACGTTTCGGACGTTATACGCTCCGGACTTCTTCAGGAGGTTGGAATGTCGAACTGAACCCTTTTATTTCGCTCGCTGTGGAGAGGACATTTTGATTAAAAACGTATATACCCGTCTACACCGGGAAAGTGGTTAAAAATTGAGGTTTAGGTCTGGCACCCCTAGTTTGTACAGAAGAGACAGAATTCTCGAAAAGAGCTTAAATTTTGCATTAAACCCATTTAGACCTCTTTTAATTTTGGTTTGTCAGCGCAAAAAATGAAAAAACAAAAAGACATTGGAAGACAGTTCTAGATAATGATTTTCTGATAAATACAAGAAAATTCATATCGAAAACGGATATTTGAAGCTTGACATAAGGATTAGGATCAATTTAATGAACTGAATACGTTTTCAATATCCTTCTGAGAACATTTCTTTATAAGATTTATATAGATTTTCGATTTGGGAACTTAAACTGAAAAAGAGAAAACTATTTTATCTCAAATAATATTTTTAGCATTATTTAAATTTTGAACATATTTATATAAGCCTACGCCCGTTTGTCACGCTTGACTGTATTCACAGATGCTTATCTTTTCTACGGTGACTGCTGCTTCTGTTAAACCCTAGCTGTCACGCCTCTTTCTTTAATTAACGGCTCCCATATTGTATTTATATTGTGGACTCTGGTTAACCCCTGCTAAGAAATGCACAATTCCTCTTATAATTTTCACCATCACAATCTAGCAAAAT